ACGGGCTAATTATTGGTAATATGCAAATGGGATCGTTTGAAAATGTATTTTTCTTTTAGAGGTATAAAGAGATTGCTGGTCTTACTAATTTCCTGATCTTACTACTTAACAAGGCCTTTTCTTATGAGATTCAGGCTAAATACTGTTAGCTTCTTTTGTTGAAATTTCTTGTTGTTCTGTCGTCTTTGTGAAAATGAAATAGCAATTGAAATTGTTGGAACCGCAAAGTCTAAATATCCCGAGTTCTTTCTATTTAAAACGAAACAATGATAGTTTTATAATCAATCATTATAATTTAAATTCGATTTTTCGTTCATTATAAACAACAACTTTTCAGCTTGAACAAAATTGTCGGATAAAGAGGAATCGCGTCGCTGAAGCGGCGCAGGACACGCCAGGCAGGCAATATCCGGCCGATATAAAATTCAGATATTTTCGGATGTATAATCAGTCCGACTAGCAATATTTGCCCGCGCAACGTTCAATGAAATTGGACGGTGAAAATTCCCGAAAGGAATCTGAGTTATTCCGGAAAATAATATTTTCATTATTTTCAATCAGACGAAGTGCCGTTTTGTAATTCCGTCCCGTTCCACGTGATCACGTCCGCCATTGGCCTCTTTCCGTTCCCCCCTACCCCGGCGAGCCGTGTTTTCATAAAACGTTTGTTAAATCGTTTTTCCATCGACAGCGGTGTAAATGTGATTCGTTAATAACCGACGCTTCGACGCGATAACAACCCTCGAAACGATTCGAAATATTTAAATCGTTGGTTGCGTGCCGCGACGCTCACTGAAATACGCATTATATAAATTGTGTTTTTTGCCATTGTCGACCGGTCGGCCGGACGGCAGGTGATTTCTCGCGTATTGAAATTTGAAAATTCATAATTTCGCGCCTCGCCGTGCCGACGCTTGAAACTGTCAACCGCAGAGGAAAAAGCAATTCCAGAAAATATTTCGGTATTATTATATCAGCAAATTCTGGCTTACTTAGAGATAATGTGTATTATGACATAATTGCACCAATGTTGAATTATGCGTATAACGTTAATTCTAAGCGTCGCCATTTTTTTGACGAATTCAAAAGGCAACGTGAGTGTAGAGATCGGATTCCCGCGGAGAAATGTGATTTTTAACTTTTCCACCGTGAATATCATGCGCGCAAGACTTGTCGTTTTAATAGAATTTATTCCGTTAATATTATGCGTGTCCGGCATCATTAGTCTGTCCCCACCTCTTATTTCACTTCCTCTTAAAACATATTTTCATTATGAACGCGGTAATTTAAACGTTAATTTATTAGTGTACACGCAACGTATTGTCGCTTTTCTTTCTTGTTACACTGGATTCATAAATAATCGTTAGTTTAATGGAAATAAAACACGCGAGAAACCATTGCACACTCTTTGACAGATTTTTTTAATGGATCCGTGCGCGAGTTTTAATGGGATTCGTTTATGCGCCCGAGTTTATCTGAGCGTAATATTAAAAGCGAAGCGAAGGAATTGGATAATAGACACTTGACGTAGTGCGAAGTGGAAACTTCTTTTCATCGATTCTTTCAGTTCTAACGTAACAGGCTTTTTTACGTCCTTGTCTTCAAGGAAATTATTTCCATATCGATAAACGTATTTTTACTTTGAAAGGAGAGAATCAAAAAGAAGTGTAAGTGGATCATTCTGAATTTTCTTTCAATGTTCTGCTAAATTTTTTTCATACTACTTAACATTAATTAATAACATTATTATTGAAACTGCTTGAAGGCCTAATGAACTAAGAGGCTGATAAAAGATACTACTTTTAAAAACCATGACGTTCACGATACAACACTTTTATATATGTTCTACTGAAAAAGACAATGGAAATGAAAATACAAATAAACACCATTATTTATGTTAGAATTGATTTAAAAACCCAGTTACCGCAGAACTTTTAAAATATAAATGTTTCTGTTAATAAACAAAACTAAGTGACCAGTAACATTTAACCTATTTACTTTTCAAAGCGTGTAATCCGCAAAAAAAATGCAAATATATGTAGAAAATATTTTTATAACAAGACACAGAAACCGTTAAAAATCCATAAAATATTTTTATCAAACCGTACAACGATGAATCGTTGCTATCGGAATCTTCCCAATTAACCACGTTACTACAATATCGTGTTAGACTCGCGACGAAAAATTTTAAACCGAATTCGACATTTAGATGTTATTTATTTTTTTAATATAAAATTAATATTATTTTTCTATTAGCAATCATTAATCTTTAAGGTAAACGTAAACATGGGATAAGCATCAAATTTGTTCCTTTCCTAATAAATGATTAACAAAATAGTCGTATCGATCATAGTTAAGAAACAAATCATAGGGCAACGGGTTAACAAACCCAACAGAACCTCACCTCGACGTAAAGAGGGTTGACGCGTCCACATAATTAAACCGACAAAAGAGTCGCATCAAATTCACTTCCCTGAAGGTCTGTTTGCACAACTACAGTCCGACAAATAGATTTCTAATCGATCCCCTCGCTGAAACTTGGTTCCCTCGGTGTTGCCCCGATCGACACCGTTTTCTTGATCGAGACCCGTTAGTGAACCTATTAAAAGCTGCGGCGACCGTCTCCGCGGTTTCCCTTGAATTATATATACACAGCCATTAACCGGATCGTCGGCGGGATGTTAATAGAACACGCCACGATAACACCGATCCCGGCTGGGGCTGCTTTTTTTCTCCCTCACCACAGGCAGCGTCTTTAATTAAGATCTTCCGTCGAAATTTCTCTGGCGTGTTCAGTTCCCGGAGCACCCGATTCTCAATAAACCACGGCTCTGAATGGAAACTCGTTAAAACCAATCCGCTAGCAATCTGGTCGATCGTTTGGCTAAGATTTCGCGACGATTCGGCGGAGGGAGGTTGGCGTTCGGCGGTTGACGAGGACGAAACACAAAATACAAACTAAAAGGAAACATCTTGGGAAGCGGAAACGGAACGCCGAGAAACAGTCTAGTACCTTTCCTCGCGCGACATTAAGCCGCAAAATCCCCTCCTCGCTCGATCAGGTCACGTTAACGGTTAATCATCGCGAGGGAGCCGGCCGGCCGATCTAATTAAAAAGTTTCGATGTCGCGCCAGACGTTCCCTGTCGAGATTCGCAATTGCTCGTGACGAGATCGAAGCTGGAGATCGTTCCGATAAGAAATGGACCAAGGAGATAGAGAGAGAAGAGCTAACGGGAGATCGACGAGAAAGAGGAAAAAAAGAGAGAAAGAGGGGAAAACGGAAGAAGGGTGAGACTGAAATCAGACACGGAGGAAATGGAAGAAGACGCGGCAAGTTGGCCGGAAATCGGGACGGGGGGAGAGAGATAGGACGGCTGGATCGCGGGGCAGATATCAGACGTAGAAAGTGAACGTGGCTGCCAGGACGCGAAGGGTAGATAATTAGAGAGGAAACACAGACCCGTTCCCTTTCTCTTTACCGAGTGACAGAGGGAGAGGGAATTGAGAAGGAGAGAGGGAGAGAAGAAATTTCTTC